CGGGTCTGCGGGAGACGGTCCCCAGCAGACCAGAGGCACCGGGAGCAAAGCCGAAGCGGCAGCGGGGTCCCGCACTTCTGAGGCTTTGCTCTGGCAAAGCCTCAGAAGCGCGGGAACCCGCCCGGTGCCCCTGGTCTGCGGGAGACGGTCTCCAGCAGACCAGGGGCACCGGAGCAGCTTACGAATGGGGCTTTCTCGCCCTGACCTCCGGGGCGAGAAAGCCCCGTTCGTAAGTGCGGATCCGACATACGTCGGATCCGCGTAAGTCAGGGACTGCCTGTATATGACATTTTCCAATCTCAATCATTCTGGCTCTTCTCTGAAACCCCTCTTTTTTTCAACCTTCTTCTTGACTTCTTGCCACCAGAACTGGACAAAGAATTCCAGCAGTGGTCACACAATTGCCATATAGAGATAATGTAACTCCCCCTCCTCTTCTTCAGTGTTCCTGTTGATACATGCAGTGCTAAAATTAGCTTTTTTGAACATAGATTCACACTAGGAGCTTATCTTCAGTTGATTATCCACTATGATCCCAATATTCCAATAGCAGATTCATTTCTTTCCAGATCAGAGTCCCCCATCTTGTAAATACAACCTACATTCTTTATTCCCAGATGTATGGACTTTATATTTGATTGTATTGAAAGGCATACTATTTTCTTGTGCCCAGTTTGTCAACTGAGCTAAGTGTTTTGCATCAGGGACTTGTCCTCCTCATTATTTACCAGTCCCCCAATTTTGTGTTCTCTGCAAATTTTACCCATAATAATTTTATGTTTTCTTCCAGCTCATTGATAAATGATAAAAAGCATAAAGCCACAAAAGATAAAGGGGCTGATCTTTCTGCCACTGAAATGAATAGCAATATTTTCATTGGACTTTCATAGGCATAGAATTAGGCCCATTGACTGACAAATATATATATATAAAAATCTGGCAGGTGACTAGGATTTAATTACCAGCAAGTGACGCAACAGTTAACAGAAAACTAAATGTTTACAGTATCTTAGAAAGATAACAAGATCAATAACTATGAAAAGACTCCAAATTATCTAAAAAATAGTGTTTCAACAAGTTTGATTAACCATCAGTATTTGTATGATCCTCATTCTTTAAATTGTTTCGCATTTTCAGAGATGCATCTAGACACACTTTCTCAGAGATAGAATCTGAAGATAAGCTGCTCTTCAAAGATAAGATGCATTCTTAATAGTTTAACTTTTGCAGTAATTCACTTTCACGTATAAGAAACATAAGAAAAAAAATGATCCAGTATATAAGCACTGCCTCCACTGAGATTCTGGTACACAGTTGGTGGCAAATAAGGCATAGAGTTTGAACTAGCTGGATGTCTATAATGTTGACTTAGCTCTTCTGACTTTACAGCATAGCCTTGAAGGGCGTGGGAAGAAGTGCATTACGCTTTGTATTTCTCTTACAATTTTGCTATCCCTGCAAGGCAAAGACAACAGGGCCAGAATTGGATTGGTCAAATCTACCTTTACACACATTTGGACAGTCAGTAGCTAAGGAATTTTTTCTTGCCCTTCAAATGCTGCATAAGGATATTTCTGCAAGGTGGGAAACAGTGTAAGAAGGCACTTTAGCTCACCAGTGATATAGAAGTTTTCTGGGACAGGTAAACAGATGGAAAGGGAAATGTTTTTGGAGGAAAAGTTTAAGATTCACTTTTTTATTTTATTTTTATACTGTCTACTCACATCTATCTTTTCTGTTTGGACTAAATTCTGAGGCAAGTACCCTATCTTGCCAAGTGTTTGTACAGCACTAAACAACAGGAATCCAGGACTGATTGAGATGTTTGGATGCTAGTGTAGTAATATCAATGTGGAGCAAGCAGTACTTTTAAAAACATTATTTTAAATAATGCAGTGTTTACCTGGGACTACCAACTAGTTTTGTGATATACTGTATGAAACAGTACGCAACATTTTAAGTAGAATATTAAAATTAAAGTGTTCAGTTTCCTTACAGTATACTGTATGCTTTATGTTTCCACTTACCAGGGTGTCTTTGCTGGCCTGATACCATGACAAGTAGTTTCTTTTGCTCTTCCATGAGTCTTTGAAGTTGCTCCATCTGTTGCTTCTTCAACTGTTCTTGTTTCTGCTGTTGTATTTCTTTTAGCTTTATCAACCACAAAACACAAGTATGTTTGAAGTCAATAGTTTCCTTAGAATCTATATGAGAATAATTAGCATTAAATTATTTTTTATTTCTTGTCTAAAGAGGCTTTAATATAGCAAGTGCTTTTTGAACAGGACATAAATAACCTATGTTATAACTGAGCCCTACACTCATTAATAGTACATTTTTAAATAAATTATACTGTAAGTATTTCCACCAGTGACCCAAGTCCTTAATAGTTCCACTAGCCTCTAAATGGACCAACTTGTACATTATATAAAAACCCACCCAGAAGACACCATGAGTTTTATGAACTATCAAGATTCAGTTTAGATTTACATTTATACTACCAACTTTTTATTTAGACTTGAAATGTCTAATGAAAATACAATCTTTATTATAGGAATTCATCTTATTATTCATTTCTTATTTTAAGTCATAACATTTGAGACATCTGTTACAGAAGAAAATTCTTTGTTACAGAGAAAATTAGAAATAAGCACCAAAGAACATTAAGAGTCGTAATGCCCCAGGGAGACAAGGATGTTTTATACTGACTCAACAAAAGAGGTATTAAGTGACTTGTCCATGGTCCCATAGGTCCTTAACTGCCACTCTTAGATTGAACAGCACCATATTCCACAGACAATCCCACTGAAAACAAAGGGATTACTTGCAAAGTAAGCTAGTATTCAAACATGAACAGAGGCGGGAGGGGAAAAAAAAGTCACACACACACAAAAGAGTTAAAGGCCAAGCTGAGAACCAATTCCAGGTCCCAACTTCAATTCTTGTATTCTGACCACCAAGTTGTACTTCTTCCTACAGCATCCTTGTCTCATACTGGTGTCTTTGTTAAATAAGCAGGAAAAGTAAACATCTCCAAAACATCACAACTCTCACACACATGCAGACCAAATGGTTCCTAAATAGAGCCTTAATGCTTTTCAAGAGGCATAAAAATCAGCAATTCCTCTTTAAATATCAACATCAAATATAGTGAGTCTTTGCGCCTCACCATTATTCCATATGGTTGATGTATTTATTCACTTATTTATACTTCTGAAAATTTTTTAGGGTGATTTGTGACATTTTGATCTGGAATGTGTCATTTTAGTTTCAGTTTTATCAAGGACAGCTTTGTTTTCATTAATAACTTTAGTCCAATAATTTATCTACCTAATCTAAATTAAACAAGAATTTATAATCAAATGGCAATTCAAGTAGCTTCCAAAAGTTGCATATTCCTTAATTCCTTATTCTTTTCTGGGGCAGAAGTATTGCAAGTAATGCGCATAAAAAAAATTAACAGCACTTTGAAAATGTGAAGTCTACTCCAGACTCAAAAGATTCACCTATAAAGTTTAATATTTACTGTGACTTAGAATTATCTCTTTAAATTAGTGTATTTCTGAAAGCAAGCAACACCTCTCACAATGTTTAGGTAACTGCAGTCACCTAACACTAATGTAATTATAGAAAATAACAAGAAATCCTAGTGAATGTCAAGGGAAAAAAAATGTACCTGCTCAAGCTTTTGTAGAAGTGGATCACTGTAATCTGCTTCATTCTGATCAACCACCTCATCACGTACACTGTCATTTTTAGCAGCTTTCCATGGAGCTGGACCACCTTTAAGTGTTAACATTGTTTTTTTCTTGACCAAATGAAATGCTGCAACTGGAAAAGTTGTTTCAGTTCTATTTAACTGAAGTCCACAAGGGCTGCAAGACTCCAAGATTCGTTCTTCATGCATGGAGTCTTCACTTACAGAACTGCTGTTTGAAACATGAAGCATTTTAACTGGGTGACTTATAACGTTTACAGTTCCAGATGACTGTCTATCTCTATTAGTTTTCCAAACATGGAAACTAGGATTTTGTATGACTCCGGAATGGGAAGCATTGGACATCCAGTGTATGATAAAATTGTTTTCACTATTTAAATCTGCACCTGTGGCCATCTGAAAAAGTGTACCTCAATCTGTTATGCAAGGAGTAGTACAATGGGCAAAGTTACAACTGTTAGGTTTGATTGTTAACTTTTAATACCTGGCTATTTTTTTAAAGTTACATGTGAAAAGGATGAAAAAGATGTTAAATATACCTACCGATAATACATAACATTGATTACAATCATATTTATAAAACTGAATCCTTGTCTCTTAAAACTACTTGATGAGGAATATACATTGTATACAGAATGAAGGGGGGGGGGGAGACTGGGAACAGACACGGGGCAAGGGAGGGGGTGGAAGCTATATATTGTATACAGAAAGAGCCAGGAAGGTAACAGCAATAAAACTCCCTTTGGGGGAGGATGCCCCATTGGGAGCTACAGGATACTGCTCCTGGTTACAGGCAGCACACAGAGACTCACTGTTCTTCTCTCCCCCTGCTTTCCAAAATAAGCAGACACAGGTTAGCCTGCCAGCAGCAGCTGGAGGCTTTGAGCTGCATGGGGCCATTATAGTAAGTGCCTCCCAACCAAGACCAAAGCCTGCACCTCACACCACTCCTATGCCCCCCTCCTAGGCTTCAGGTCAGAACCCCCTCTTGCACCCAAACTTCCTGCCAGGGCCCACATCCTATCTATTAAAATAATACAAGAATGTAACCTAAGACAATTTACCAAATTTCTTGGAGTGCTCTCCCCTCTCGCAAAAATTATTGACCACTCCTAGGATAAGCTCTGTGGTAGCTTCTGAACTGAAGCTGCATTGCGAACTGTTACAACAATGGAGCAAGACAGGGTGGGCAGAGTTCCCACTGGGACACTCATGTTACAACCACAGGGAGAGAGAGGGTTTCACAGACTACACAGGTCAAGCCCAATTGCAGCCAGGACATTTTCCAGGGGTTTTAAAACACACAAAGCCAAAGTCCCTTTTTCCATGAGAAAGTGAGGCCTTCACAACTGCCTTTACACGGACGTGCAAAACAGACCCTCCATCTCTTAACTCAGACGGGGCGGGGGGATTCTCACACCGCAGTTTGAAGCGGGTTGGGGAGCAGAACAAAATACAGTGTCGCTCGCCCTCTCCCCCTGCGGCATCTCCCCAGCCCCGGACAGGGGGACGGGCTGTCACGCGCTGACACAATCACAATCCCTCTGCCCAGCACTCCCCGGTCGGGCGTTAACTGCCACTGTCAGAAGTGAGGGGCTCCAC